AAAATGCGACATTTTTTACTCCTCCGTTTTCGGAAGCATTTTCCACAAAAATAGGCGCTTTGGAGACGACATCAGACCAGTTGCTGAAAATCCAGTTTGCGTTAGAGGTGAATTTTTTGAAAATGGGATAGCAAATCAGCAAAAAAATTAAAAGAATTGTTAGAGGTGAACTAAGAATTTAGATTTCAATTTATATATAGTTATTCTACCTTACAGGGCGGAAGTGGTGTAGTGGCAAGTGGCACGCTTACCACGCGAGCGGTCCGGGGATCAAATCCTGGGTCGTGAGTCGCCCGGGCCAACCAAGCCTTCCATCCCTCCGGGGTCGGTTAATTGGTACCAGACTTGTCTGGGAGGATAAAAACACTGACTTGTACATCGGCTGGCCCCCGCAAGTCATTGTATAGGCCACATCGCATTCAAACGCCACTACGAATGTACAAATGGAAGTAGAATGCGTGCCGCATCCCTCTTATGCTTTATCCTTTACTTTTCCTTTAATCCATTGGCTCCCGACCCACAACAATTCTGGTAAGCTGTAAAACTGATAAGATGCGACAGGGCGAGGATTGCATGGAGGCGCTGCGCCAATTGGAGCTAAGTAACTCATTCAGACGCGTGTCGGCGATGGTGAGCACGTATCGCGTCATTTAGCATCAATGTACCTTTTCACTAGTTTGACACCCTCCACTCTGCTTCCCCATTCGCACGAGTCACGACACTGTTCCGACTCCAAGTGCGCGGCAAAGGCGCAAAGGACGTGCCCTGCCTGTTGGCGGTGCAGCCATCCTTATCAATCGCGGTTGTCGCCCTCTCGCATACGACGTGCTCTTTCACGTTTTCCCTCTCACTCATAGGCTCTGTGTCTCTGCAATTCATACGCCGGCTTCACATGGAAACTACAATGTTTTTTATGTCGCTTGCTTTTTTCCCCAATTGCGCTCCTCGGGTCGACGAACTATGTACTTGAACTCGGCCCTTTAAGCTGCCTCACTCGACGCTTTCGTCTGCGCTCTCTCATCCTTATCAGCGGCTCATCACCACTGCGATCTCACACATTCAAACTTTTGCCACAATGCAACTGGCTCACCCACCTCGGATTCCCTCCCCCTTACAAGGCTTAGTCCTAAGGCTCTCACCTCCCTCCTTGGGATTTGGAGCCGAGCCAGGCGCCATTCTCTGATCGTCTGTGCTCTCCGCCATTCGTGGCAGGACCATAGACGAAAGTGCAAGTAGTCCGTCGTAACCCCGTCAAGGTGGCAGTTCCCTCGTCTAATTTTCGCCAGCAGAACCAGCATATACGATCGCCGACCTGCGTCCTTTGATTGTGAGTACGGCCATTTATGAAAGTATCAAACTATGCGGCTCTTCGCCTCCATAGATTCACTCTAACTTAGAGAACGTGGCCTAAGAGATTAGATGCACACAGTTGTGGTTGCACGCATCCAGGCTAGGAGAGAAGAAAGACGCATGGCGCACTTCTGCACATCGCGAATGTATCCCGTAAATCTCGCAAAGTTGTGAACTGCTATTTCTTCAGGCTCTTTATCCAGAGTACTTAGTGATGTTTCTTTCCACAGCGATGAACAACTTACCACTTATCATTCCCTACTTGTTTTGTAGGTACAATTCCCAAATATGTCAGTCAAGCAGATGGAGTGCGGAGCAACGGCCAGGCACTCAGATCAGATATGTGTAAAATATCCCTAAAACTAACGAGCAACCTCGCTAAATGAGGGCGGAAGTTCGTGGCAGTGACAAGTGCGCGCTCCACCAATAGTTAGCGGGGATCGAATACGAGTAGAAGACTGGCGTCGTACCTTTCCCGCCCCTTTTATTGTGACTTCATTTTTGTTGGTGACCAATTTACATACTCAACCGGTTGTTTCGTTCGACTTGTGTCGAATCAATTGTTCCAGTGCGTATGATGTTCACGGAGTTCGTGTAGAACCATGAGATCCACTGCTATTCATCCCGTTTTCTTTTCCCGGTGTTACATTACATCTAATTTTCTTTCCCCAGTGTTATATTACAATTTGCCGATACGAGTCGTCATTTGTGTTACTTTTTTTCACGACAACTAGACTTTCTCGTTCAATTTTTCGCGAATCGGTCTCACTTTGCGGGGGGTAAAAATTACCAAGAGGAAATTTGATTTTGCTCATCTGCAAATTGTACTTTTCGGCTGAGGACAGTTTCAGAACGTACAAAATGAATCAGCCATGCAATCAGGTTCTGTGTTAAAAATAGATGATTGCCTACGTGGCATTCATCAGTTCTTCCCAGGCGCACCATCCATTTATTTTTTTTCGAAAATATATGGGCATTCCACCAACTAGAGTTAGACAAATACCTGCAAGACTTGCAGGACTTGCAGACACGACATGAATGATTAAGGACACATTTCACGGTTCCTGAATGTAGGTACTGAGATTCAAGAATAAATCGTAGGTACTAAGCGGCTCACTGAAGGAAAAAATCAAATAATCTGCTTGCATTTTGTATCTATTTAAGAAACTCTACGAATTCGTGTCAAAAGAACCTGAGCAGAGTGAACGGAAACATGGAATTATGGGGCGAGCGAGAACTTAAGACTAAGACTAGAGAGACTAAAAGTCGTTGTTATTAATGTCTAATTTGGGGGCTTAGTCGCAGCGTGATAAAGAGAGAGAGCGAGTGCCAAGAAACTTTAAAGTTTATACGGGAGACTACTTGAGTCCGCGGTCTGGGCCTTATAAGGAGCCGGGAGACTGTGCGTTTGTCTTTGTAGGAAGGCGCCCCCCAGCGATGTATCGACATTCAACGTCCAATAAAGACCTTCGTGCCTCTCATTCCCACCTTGTGATTGACCGCACCATCTACTGGCCCTTGCTATCGGAATTCAGCTTTCTTGGCAAGGGACAGGTGAGCGTTCATTTTGACGACGTCAGTGAAAGTAAAACCAACGGGAGAGCAAAGGTCCTGGTTTCGATTTGGTTCCTTCTGCTTGGATTTTCTCTTCATGCTGCATCTGGGCACCTCTACCTCTATTTCAAGAAGGCGACCGATGCAACGTATTTACCATTGAGCTTTGACTAAGCCTATCCTCACTGTCGGGCGGCGGATTAGTGTGAAGGTGCACAAGCGGAATCATCAGACACAGCAGTGGGATCATAGGTGCCACAATCTAAAGGGGGAGCGTGGCTGTAATGTCTGTGGACCGAAAGTCCTTGAGCCTGCTGGCGGGTTGTAAATTCGCCCTGCTTCCTGTACCACACGGGGGCAAGTGATAGATGGCGGCGTGCCTGATGTCCTGTAGTGCGATGGATGTCGATCTGCCAAATGAACAAGAAGAAAATCTGAGATGACGAGATGACACAAATAGTTCGACGAGGCGAAGATTGTAGATGGCGTGTGCGCGGCGTATTCTGTGTTATGGATTAACTGTTAGCGACTTATATGTTGTGCTGATTCATGTCACCCTAAAATAAACATTACAAACACTCGAAAGACTGGTAGCGAATGCACATACCAGGAAGTTAGAATACGAGAGATATCTGTACTATGTAAATCCTGTTGAATAGATAAAAAAGGGAGAAACTACTATTATGGATGACTACGGCAAACACTGATACGCAGATAGAATGACTACGATAAACTACGATCCGCGAAGAAGAAAGAAGAATACTAGTGAAAGACAACTGGTAAAGAAGACAACTAAGGAAGCCAAGTGCGACCTCCTAAGAGAATAGCTAAGAACTAAGCAAAGAACTGAACGGAGAAGAAGGACTCAGCTGCTAGAGCAGGATCCCAACGACTCTGATTATAATGTAGAAGCTTAACATACAATTTAGGAATTAGCTAACTCTATCTTTTGCGACTCATCGAATATGAAGTCGACAATAAATAGGCGATGATATAGACGATAACAGAGGCGAATAGGGCGACCGACAGGACGATGACGCAATAGCGAATGACGAATGACGTGGCCAGGGTTGGCGCGCATTTGAAGGCGTAGGAAATCCAAGAGTCCTGTCAAGATGGCGCGAAGTTTGAACCGGTATTTTGCCCTGCCTCTTGCCAGCTTCCCTTAGAGCATCTTTACTCGAGGTCGTGGCGCTGGTCACGACACCCTCCCTCGCTCAAGCCATTCTACTCCCAACCGACCAATAAAAAAGACTAGCTCAACGTACGCGGCACTCCTTCCTGCAGAGTTTATGATTGTTGAGTGAAAGCGCTGCCACGACTTTCACAAGTCCAAGAACAAAACATAGATGGGCCTCACACTGCTACAAAATTGGACATCTAAGGGGAAATTTTCAGGGATGGGGAAAGACCTCATTGAAGTGCATAGCCATAGTGCATAGAAACCTCTGTTTGATGCACTTGAATATATTCGGTGTTTGGAATTTCTGGAGAACTTTATTTGGTTTTTCGGTTCGATTTTGATCGCTGATTTGTAAACATGTTCGGAAGAGAAAACAAAACAGAAGAAATGAGATTGGCTGGCATTGGCTACTAGTCTAGGTGGAACCAAAACTTTATGACTATTTATCACGTTTAATCATTTATTGATTAGATGATTAAATGATTAAAATCAACTTGTATGGTTTAATTCAGGTGGCTTCAATGTTACGAATGCATCCACCGACGATGCTTCTCGAACTCTGGGAGGAGACTGGTGTGCATTTCGGTCGGTCCAAAAAGAAGCATGACACAAAGGTCCTTGAATCTTCATTTTACCACAACACAAGGATCTTTTATAAAAATTGGATGTTTTCATAATTTATTTCATAACAAATACTTATATCGATTCCCTCGCAATTGATCAATTCAAAAAGTCTTCTTTGAAAAAAATTCATGGGTATTTCAGAAATCGCCTAAACTGCTGCAGAACAATCCACATACTGAACTTCTGTTGAAGTCGCCTTCGTCATCATTATTGAAAGCCTCGGATTCTGTACTGGATGGGGATGTCTCCTTCAAACAGCCAAGGTAATATTATTCAGTACGTCATTCTCAGAGCATTAGAGGTAAAAATGCTTGAAAATTGTGGAGTATTGAATGAGTGAGCTCCTAGCGTTGAGCTAAGTGGGAGTAACCAAAGCATCACCGACCCGTGTCTTTTAGTTCGGCAGAAGAAAGTGGTGTGCTGCGTAGTCAAACAGCTCGAAACAATTGGAAACGATTGGCTAGGAAAGCTAGCGAACGACAACAGAAGGAACTCATCAACGGCAATAGTGATGGTGAATTCTAGTTTCTTTAACTTTTACGTGCCCTTCACATTCGCCGGCTAGAGGAGTCTGCACTACAGACTCCACACCACAAGTGACGACGGCCTCCAAATAAATCTGATCATTAGTAGTTATAGTGATAGTTGATATTTGATAAATGATAGTTGTAGCTAGTGACAGTTGATGGAATTCAACTGAAACAAGGTAATCATTTTGCAGCAGAAAACTATTACCCTCCCCTTCAAAAAGCGAGAAAGTGTCGGGTGCAGAAAATGCACCACAAGTGACGACGGCCTT